TAGACTTAGATCGGCCGGATGTGGCTCCTTGGTCTATCTCCTGAACCGTGAACATTTCACCGTCCTATCTTTTGGATTTGCGACCAAAATATGATTTTAAGGCCGCCTGTGAAGTTTGGTGGACTTGGACACACGGTTTGGGAGGTGGCCGATGATTGCTCCTTTCTTCATTTTTCTAGGTTTCTTCTCAAATTTCATGCTAGATTCTCAAATCTCTGTATTCAAAACTTCAAAAACAAAACAAAAACATTAAACTAAAACAAAAAGTAAAAGGGAAAAGAAAACACCTTATGGGTTGCCTCCCATACAGCGCTTGTTTAATGTCATTAGCTTGACGTTATGGCCTCTTCTTAGGCGAGTGGGGCATCGACTAAAGGAACTGTTTCTCTCTCATCCTCATCAATGTCTGCGAGATATGGCTTGAGTCTTTGTCCATTAACAGTGAAATCACCTCCAGAACGGTTCCATAGTACAACAGCGCCATATGGTTTCACTTCTTTTATCTTAAAAGGTCCGGACCATCGCGATCTAAGCTTACCGGGAAAGAGTTTCAGGCGTGAGTTGAAAAGGAGAACCTGGTCATTGGGAGAGAACGTCTTGGGGACTATCTTCTTGTCATGATATGCTTTTGTTCTTTCCTTGTAGATCCTAGAATTCTCATAGGCATTATGACGAATTTCATCCAACTCATTCAACTGAATCAAGCGCCTCTCCTTTGCTGTCTTGATATCGTAGTTTAGCTTCTTTACTGCCCATTCCGCCTTATACTCAATCTCAACAGGAAGATGACAAGCTTTCCATAGACAAGGTGAAAAGGAGTTGTTCCAAGTGGGGTTTTGAATGCAGTTCTATATGCCCAAAGAGCATCATCAAGCTTGACTGACCAATCCTTTCTTGTCATTCCCACTGTCTTCTCTAAGATCCTCTTGATTTCTCTGTTAGAAATCTCTACTTGCCCACTTGTCTGAGGGTGATAAGGAGTAGCAACCTTGTGTCTCACTCCATTTTTCTTCAGTAGACTTTCAAAGACCTTGTTGATGAAATGAGATCCTCCATCACTAATCACAACTCTTGGGATACCAAATCTTGGAAAGATGATCGACTTGAATAACTTTATCACCACCTTGGAGTCGTTTGTAGGGCTGGCTATGGCTTCTACCCACTTAGACACATAGTCAACAGCAACAAGGATGTACTTGTTCCCATAAGAAGAAGGAAAAGGACCCATGAAGTCTATTCCCCAAACATCAAAAACTTCCACTTCTTGGATGAAGTTTTGTGGCATCTCATTCCTTTTGCTGATGTTTCCTTGTCTCTGGCAAGCATCACACTTAGAGATGAAGTCATGGGCGTCCTTAAACATGGTGGGCCACCAAAAACCAGCTTGCAAGATCTTAGCAACAGTCTTGTTAGTAGCAAAATGTCCTGCATAGTCAGATCCATGACAAGCAAAGAGAACTCCTGGGACTTCTTCTTCTGGAATACATCTTCTAAACATACCATCAGAACAATGTTTATAAAGATAAGGTTCGTCCCAAAAGTACCTTCTAACATCACGTAAGAATTTCTTCTTCTTGTAGCCAAAGAATTGGGGTGGTGGATGATCAGCAGCAAGATAGTTGGCAATGTATCTAAACCAAGGAGTGTCGGATGGTGCTGGTTTTGGAGGTGCTCTAGGACGTCTCTCAAGGTGGAAAACTTCCTTAGAACTATCTGCATCACACTCTTTAGGCATCACAGTCGAAACCTTGTCTCTTAAGCAACTTTCATGATCAGAGTTCACTGATTTGATAACTTCATAAGATCTTATGTAAAGAGCTTGCTTGGAAACGTTTTGAGGCTTCTCCTTCTCTTCTCCATGGTCTAAACTCAATCTGCTGCCATTCCTAATGGTTATACAATAAGAGCTCTTGGTAGGGACTGCTGGATAAAAGACTCTTTTCTTTACTCTAGAGAAAGAAACTCTTTGGTTTGGATAGTCCACATTAGCTCCAACTGTTGCAAGGAAGGAACTACCAAAAACCAATGGCGTTAGGGGTTCCTCATTCATCTCTAGAATATGAAAATCTGTAGGAACAAGACAACCTCCCACTTGTACCAATATATCTTGAGCAAAGCCATATGGGGTAATAGTAGAGGCGTTTCCAAACTTCAGTGATGTTTGAGAGTCTTTAATGTCAACTATTCCAAGCTCATCTGCTATAAGCTTAGACATAACATTCACATTAGCTCCTGTATCGCAGAGGGAATCAATAAAATCCATACCATTGATTGTGCATGGGAAAACAAATTGCCCTGGATCTTCCATCTTATGCAGCTTTCTTTGATGAGGTCCCTTGTAGATTGGCTCATCATCTTCAGGCCATTCCAATGGGTTTTTGAGGGTTGAATGATCTCTAGGGGCTGGTGAGACCACGTCCTTGTTCTGAGTTGTGATAACTTTGCAAACTCTTGGATTTAACTCAGTCTTACTTGGAAGAAAACCCTCTTGCCTCTTCATACCTTCTGCAGTTTGAGCAACTTGTACCTCAAGCATCTTCACATGATTGGTTAGATCAAAGAGCTTTGCAAATATCTCATCATCTTTTCTGTTGAGATGACCATAGTCGTTCGCCATTTTGAACTCAAGGTTTTCAATCTCTTGGGCGTTTTGCTCTTGTCTTTCCATCATATGTTGTTGATTTTCCATTAGCTGTTGCATCATAGCTTCAAGTCTTTCCTCTCTAGCATCAATGTAGTTGACTTCTCCTTGCTGCTTATGAGAGTTATCACCATTACACTCCTCTTTATCCTTACCATGAGAAGCTCCCATGTTCTCACATTGGTATGCATCCCTTTGCTGGTTCTTGAGAAATTGAGCAACCATTGATTTCAGCTCAAGGATTTCTGAAAAGTCTGAACTTGATGTGCTCCACGTTTTTCTCATAGTCCAAGCAAGAATATTTGTTGCTTGCAGCCAAGTTATCAATGAGAGTATTGGCTTGAGCAACTGTATTAGTCATGAAGTCCCCTTGACTTGCGATGTTGAGTGCCATCTTGAATTTCTCATCAACTCCTTGATAGAAGAAGTTTAGCAAAGCAATCTCTGTAAAACCATGGTGAGGGCACTCTCTCTTGTACTCCTTGAACCGTGAAACAGCCTCAAAGAATGATTCATGTGCCTCATGTCGAAATTCTGAGATTCTTCTTCTCATCCATTTTAATCTCTCTTTTGGGTAGAAATTCTTCAAGAAAGCTCTCTTGTATTCATCCCAAGTAGTGATTGATCCTGCTGGAAGAGCCCTCATCCATTTGTATGCCTTCTCAACCAAAGAGAAAGAGAATAAAGTACACTTCAAGTAATCCTCAGAAACTCCACTACATCTCCTTGTAGCGCAGATTTCTTCAAACTTCTCAATATGATCAATGGGCTGCTCTTCCTCTAGGCCACGAAACTGATGCTGCTCCACCAAAGCAATGAGTTTAGAGCTTATCTTGAACTCTCCAGTAGGTCGTGGAGGGCATATAGGTTGGCGGTTTGTGAAAAAGATGTCTAGTGAGTCAAACTCTCCAATGGTGCGGTTTTGAGGATCCATTGTGATATCTTCTTCAAGAGGTCCTATCTCTTCCTCAAGCTAACCTGAAACACAAAGAGATAGAGAAAAGTAACAAAATAATAAAAACAAAAACCAAGAAAAACAAAAACAAAAATAAAAACGAAAATTAAAGCTATCCTAGACTAGATTCTAATCCGAAACTCAAAGGCAACTGTATTGGTCCCCGGCAACGGCGCCAAAAACTTGATGCGGGATCAGGTTTTACCTATTCCTATCCCTGATTCTGCAAGTGCACAGGTCAGATGTAGTAACGGGTTATCGAACACAAGGACCAGATAAGTTTACACTATGAGTTTATGAGATTCGAATCAAGCTAAGACTCAAGTATGGAGGTTTGTTGTTGTCACGGTTTCAAAGCAAAACAAAGTAAATAAGGTGAAAGCAATAGAAGAAAGCATTGGGCATTAGAGGATTCGCAAGGTTTCATAGATTGGATCAAGCAAATAGATAGGGAAATCAATAGTTTGTTCTAGAACTCGAATCAATAAGTATAATTGACCTACTCCCGCAGTGCCAATTACTATGTCTAACAACCTAAATCACACAACTTCCGCAGGTAATCAAGAGGTTAAGCATGTAAGAACAGTTCAAATTCGATAGCTCTACTTCCGTAGGTCTAGTTCACAAAGCCTTGCAATTCTACTTCCGTAGGTTACTATGCCTTGCTCATCTAAGTTGATTCAAGAGATTTATCAAGCGGTCAGAATGTAAATCTACCTAAGAGCATTAGCTTAGACGGTCAATCAAGCTACAAGCAATAAACACAAACTTAGATGAAGAACTTTAATGATAAAACCCTAATCTAGCAACCTAACAATCAATCCATGAAAACCCTTTGAAAACTCTTAAAAGTAAAAGGGATTTAAGAAGAATTCATAATAAAACTTTATTGTGTTACAAAGGTGAGATCTTCTCCCATGAAGCTCTAAAACGAAATCAATGTAAACTCTCTAAAACTAATGCGGCTCTCTCTTCTAAAGAGGCTAAAAAAGAGTATTTATAGTGCCCTAGGTCTTCACAAGTCGGTTTAGGTTAATTGGGCTGAGAATAGTCAAAACTGCATAAGTGGGCTTCTTGTTCGCGGACATCGGGTCGACCGTGCAAGGGATGTGGTCGGCCGTCGGGGTCGGCCGTGATGTGATGATCTCGGTCGATCGTGGTCCATTGCCTCCCGGGTCGGACGGTGCGGTCGTGCGGCCGGATCGGTCCTGGAGAAGGCCGAGCGAAGCCAATTCCCTTCCTGTCCGGCCGAGTGCGTTCGGCCGGCTGTGGACCAGTCTTCAGTACAAACGTGATATCTCCTAAACGGCTTATCCAAATTGCATACTTCCAACGGCATTGGAACACTAACTCATCTGGCTATCTTGGTTGAGTTTCATTGAAATCCATTGAGTTTAAGGGTCCAAGCCGCTGCTGCTCGTCTGATGTACTGATGCAGTCCGATAAAGCTCCTCGGTATATGTCTCAGGGAAATAGAGATATCTCCCAATCTACTCGGTCAAATTGATTGATTCCAGTTGCGTTGCAAAGCTAACTCATGTATGCATCGCCTCGAACTGGATTTGATGAATTCCATTGAGTAGAATGTTTTTAAGGCCCTTCTTAAGTTGATGCTACGTCTTGGAGTGGTCTTGAAGTCCAAATCCTGTGTTTTGCTCCAAAATGCATCTTTTGACCTGTTTAGACTCTAAGTACTATAAATCCATAAAAACTACCTTTTTAGATCAGAAAGCCATTAAAAACCTTATGAAAAGCATAGTAAAACCATATAAAAAGCATGTAAAATAGAGGTATATCAAACAGGAAGGCAAAGCTTCGCGGCCGCGCGGCACAACCCATGTACCGCGGCCGACCAATCCGCGCGAACAGGAAGGCATCGTCCCGTGACCGGCCAAGTTTTATCGGCCAAAACTTATCTATCCGTCAGACCCCGTCGACCGAACACGAAAACTGTCGACCACGATCGTTCCGACCGTACCGATGGCCGACTACGATCCGACGACCGGCCGATCGTCCCGACCGACCGTCCGAACGTCGCGGTCGACCCGAAGCCGTTTTTGAAGCCCAATTCACACAATTCAAGCCCAAAGCCGGCACCGACTTACTAGATTAGGTCTAGCCGCTTTTTCATACTTAGTGCATTATAAATACTTCTTTTTAGCCTTGTAACTCAAGAAGGAGAGAGACCACAATTTACTTTACATCTTTAATAAAGTTTTGCTTGCTTTTACTTTGTTCTTGCTTGTTCTCTTTCTAGAGAGGATTCGAATCTCTGTTCTTATGAATATGAATTCGTGTTCCTTCTCTATGTCTGAGTAGTTTACTTGTTAAGTGATAGGAAGTCAAAGGATAGCATTCATGTATGCTTGATGATCGATCACAATTAGGGTTTTACTTATAATCTTCATCTTTGCTTATACTTAATGCTTGTTGTTAATCTGGCCAATTAGCATATGATCTAGGTTGATTTGAGCCTCGAAAGTGCTGTATCATTCGCCTGAACTAGTATTTGGTGGGCAACCTCTTTTAGACTGCGAAAGTTGATTTACTTGTAGGTTGTGAACAATTGAACTTAATCGAACTAATGCTTGATTTAATCACCTAGGGACATACCAAAAGTTTAGCGACTAGGGAGATTAACAAAGGGGTCGGAGCCACGAAGTGGAAAGATCATACCATAGTGTTTCAAGTTCTAGATTGGCACCTAATTGCAAAACCCTAATTGATTGATCTTGCTTCATGAATTGCTTATCTTAAGACTATCCTATTGCTTAGCCTTCTTCTCCTATTGATTTCAATCTTTCTTATTACTTGCATGCTTTACTTTCACTGCACTCAACCAATCTCATACTGTTTGCCCTAGCTCGATCTCAATCTTACAGTTTGTAGTGTGCAATCTGGTCCTCGTGTTCGATACCCGTTTACTACTTCTGACCTGTGCACTTGCAGAATCAGGGATAGGAAAAGGGAAGACCTGATCCCCCGATCAGTGTTGATGTACTTGCATTTTACATAGTTTTAGTACATCTTTTATGCATCTTTTGCATAGTTTTAGCATCCATTAGCATCATATCTTGTTCCTTTTCCCTTCTTATGCATTCATAGTAGTTTTAGGTTGCATTTGCATACATGTGCATGTTTGGTCCTTGAAATAGGTCTTTTGGAGCACTTTGGAGCATTGGGACGTGAGGAGCAAGGAAGGACTTGGTGCATGGACGCAGCTCAACTGGACACGCAAAGGAAGAAGGAGGAAGCCATCTTGAAGACCAGCTCGACCACCTACTCGACCATCCGGTCGAGTTCCTCAACTCGACCGGCCAAGCTTCAACTCGATCGAGCTGAGAAGTCAACAGTCAAACCCGAAAAATGTTGCTTCCCCCTTGACTTCCCTTTGACCCTAAACCTAATCTCCTCTTGTATTTAAAGGCTCTAAGCCACGAAAAAGACAACAATCTTTAGCTTACTTTTGTTTTAGCTTTTCTTTAATTTTGTCTTTTACTTTTTGCAACCCTAACCTCTTTGTGTTCTTGAGCTCTTGCTCTTGAATCCTAGATCTGGCTTATTTCTTTGTATTTGCACTTGCTTATTTCAATAAAAGTTGTTTATCTTTATCTCCTCTTTCTTTATGTCTTTTCATTGCATTTGCTTGTGTTTTCATTCATGTGTAGTGAGTAGTTACCTTTAGGGTCCAAGATGGGCTAGATTAGGGGATCTTTATGCTTAATCCTTCTTGCTTATGTTCTTAATCTAGAAATCTCTCTCTTTTGGACAATCTTAAGGCTACATGACCACTACCCCTGGCTTGTATGTCATAGGCGATTTCCACATGGAAGTGATGGAAATCGCTTGAAAAGGTCCACTAAGAGCTCCAATAACCTTGCTCTCGAAATGGAGTTCATAGGTGTTGGATGGATTAGTTTGAGCAATGATCCTATGGCCTCCAAGGCTTGATTCTCACTGGCTAACCCCCTGTTTCTGAGATCTTGCCTTGGTTGATAGCTTTCACCTTGGGAAAGGGTTAGCTAGGCATTGAGAAGCTCAATATCAAGAGATACCTTGATACAAGTTGTTTGAGAGCAAGATTGATTAAGTATAGTCTTCCCTGATTGTAAGACCCTGTCTTAGACCCTAATATTCGCATTTGCATTATCGCTTTTTACCCTAACTCGACCCTCAACTCGATCGAGCTTGGTTACTCTGTTCCCACTCGACTCGAGTCCTTGGTCGAGCTGCTTGCTTTACTGCTTTCTTTACTTTCTGCATTGCATTTCTATTTCATTAGGTTGCTAGAGTTATCACTGCTGTCTGCTTGACTTCCTTGTGATTGCATATCTCATAGAGTACAATTTCACCCTTATGGATTGATACCCCTTATATTCAATGACTATGATGGTTAAGGGGAATTGATTGATTGTGATTGTGTTTGCACCATACCATCCCATCTTCATTTACCACTGTTGCATTCCACCTCATTTACATTTCATATCATATCATCACATCACACACCGCAAAATCCTTCATCAAATATCATCAGGGATTTTGTGGCTGCAAGGTTGTTTCAGGACAGAGGCAGAGGCTGAGGCTGGTTGTTAGGACAATAAATGTTTCGTTAAGACAGAAGGTGAAACAAGTTGTGATTCAAGCTTAAGTGTAAGCTGAAATTTTGAATTATTGTTTCACAGAGGCTTCGTCTTGAAAAGTTGGTGGTAACAAGGATTCAAGTTTCGGACAAATTTGTGTTTAGCGTAACACATGATGATTCTGTTGGGAATAAAACTTGTTGTTCGTTTACAGAAAGTCTGAGGGAACAAGTTTATTGTCTCAGGTGGAGTAAGCGAGGTTACTGGTTATTTCTGACAAGAAGATTGCAGATATTTGAAGTTTATTGTCTCTGCGTGTAGCTAATTGTTCTCCTTAATATGAGATTCTACATGCGGTGGATCTTAGAGAACGTGAAGCTACAAGACTGCTATTTTCAGAGGGAATGCAGTGAAGTTTGCAAGTCTGTTGCTTGGTGTAAGTTGGGCGATGTATGAGCTCTTGTATCAAGAAGTGTAAGCTTTTTTGACAAGGTGGCAATAGCAAAGATTCAAGCTATTTTCTTCAGATTTGTGTTTGGTTTAACACATGTTACTTCTGCTTGAATGAATCTGAGAAAACAAGGAGTTCTTTTCACTGGTGGATCAATGCTTTCTCAAAAGATTCTTGTATGGAATCAGATTCTTTCCAAAGAAATGAAGAAGAATCTGATGGTCGAAAAGCTAAAGGCACTGGAGACGTCATGTTTTATGAGCAATGTCTCTCAATGTTGTTATGCAATGGGATATACTATTATTTTGCATCGAAAGTCTTCCTAGCTAAGAGAGTTAGGCGGCGTGTCCTGTTTATTACTAACAGCGGTACAAGATAAGTATGTGTTGTATTTTGGCTGCAAAGAAGTACAACATCAGTGATCTGTGAGATTGAAGCATATGGTTTTATGGTGCATCAACCTAAGTTGTAGCATCATCATGAAGAATGCTCCATGTAGAGAGTGAACGAGGTTTCTGAAATTAATGGTTCTTTGGGTATAAATGAATTAGTTGGTGTGGCTGCAGGAGAGAGATCATGTGTTCCACGCTTTGGCACACAATCTCAAGCAAGAAGCCATGAGCTTATAGAGACAGAGTGTATCCAAGTGGTTATAGTTCCAGGTGGAGTATTGTTGCTACAAGAAGAGCAATGCATATCCAAAAGGGTATTTTTTCTATTCTTGGTGGAGCTATGTTCGTGAAGGCTGTCTCAGATCTTTAGCAGAAAAAGGGAAGAGTTAAAAGGCTGCATTACTCACTATTGTATCAGATTGATGAAATTTCAGTGAGCTAGAAGATGGCAAGTCAAGATCATGTGGTTATCAATAGTTATTCAGTTCAGACAGGTTTATAATCTGATGGTAAAAGTGTAGCTGCGGAATTAGTTTGAAGCTAGTTGTTGGTAATTATATTCAGATACGGCTTGTGTGTTTTCTCAAGAAGAGTTGCAGGTTTTCTGAAAATTTTCAGAGAAGACACTAATGTGTGAGTTGAGATGATTTTATTGAAGTGGTTTTCTAAAGAAGGAGCTTGGAGACACAAGTGCTAGTGTTACAGCAATTGTCTCAAGGTTGTTCACTTCAAGAAGGTGAAGAAGCTGTTGTGTATCTACCATGATAAACAACTCATCTCAAGGCTGGTGTTAGCAACTAAAAAATTGAGTCCTAGAAGGACGAAATGCAGAGAACCAAACTGCATTTGAAGACAACAACTAAGGTGTTTCAAGTTGTTTGTTTGCATCATCTGGAGAATACGTAAGTATTTTTCAAGGAAAAGAGCACTTACAAGTTACAAGTTTTTATGTGGGTTCTCATTATATTAAAGGCATGTGAAGATGCAGCTGGTGTATGAGAAGATTACGTGGTCATAAAGTGTGAGTTTTGTGATGCATAGTTGCTGGAATTTTTATGGTGAAAGTTCTGTATTTTACAGGATGGTTTTACAGCTTAAAAAGATATCACAAGCTCGAAAGTGATATAGAGGTTGCTGTAAGGAGGGTCTCAGGAATATCTTGGTTTTCTCTGTTGATATGAGGCTGGTTTAAAAGCTATTAGTAGTGGGTTAAAGCTGCTGGTTGAGTTCTGCTGTAACAGAACGATTGAACAAGGGATGTGTTCAGGTTGAATCAAGGCTGCTTCAAGATGGGAGGCTATATGATTCTGTTTTGCATTGATCAAAGAAATGACTGGAATTTTGGACTCACTGCAGGGGTGAATTCTGGTGTTACGCGTAATGATCGGAATTGCAAAGATGGTGATCTTATCAATCACGAAAATAGATTTTGGTTCTATAAAGGCCATGGGAATCTGTGTTGTTGACGGAGTAATAAGCTGGATTTACTTTTCCCACAAGTCAAAGTGGAAAGCTTATGAAGTACGTTGGATAACAAGTTCAATGGAGTTTTGAATTTGTTTTTGCTGTTTGTGATAAGTGTTATCACTGGTTCCGTTTCGGAGAAGCTACAAAGAGGTGTTTGCATGAGCATGAATCTCAAGCCAAGGTGGAGATTTGTGAGATATTGGCTATGAGATTAGTCATGAAAACAAATGAAGACTATGAGGACCAATGTGCAATTTGGAGATAGTCTTGGTTTTGTCTCAAAGAAGAGCAACATCACGTGGTGTGAGTGTTCTCTTTACTTGTCATGTTGTCAACTGTTCATTGGCTAGCTATTAGCAAAGAGGAAGGAGCTTCCTTGTCTTCTTTATATGCAGCGGCGGCTAGACCTAAGGAGGTTAAGGGAGTGAAGAGGAACAGAAGTAGATCTGGTCCTAAAGAGAGAAAAAGACGGTGAAGGGAAGGGTCTCGAATCCTAATAGAGACTTTTCCCGGTGAGTGACTCCTTATGGAGTGAAGTCTGTTCACAGTGACTTCTCTATTTCCCTTGGTGAGTAAAGGAGCAGATTCAAGATGAAATCAAGAGAGATAATGAGAGCTTGGTGCGATTGAAGAGAGAAGAAGTTATAAGACTATTCTCGGTGAGCATCTATGTGCTTCTCAAGTGGTGAAGATGGTTGTGGAGACAAGAGTGTCTCGGTTTGAAAAACTAAGCCATGTCTCTTGGTGTATGGCACGAATCTGTGAAGGAAATGAGTTGTACACTATGAAATAAGACTCATTTCGGTGCACACTATGAAGCATCTCACTCAAAGCGACTCAACGAACAAGAAGTATCAAGACAAGAAGCAGTTTCTAAGGTAGCTTTGCTATGACAGAGTTGGTGTTGTCTTGATAGTGGCTAAGTGTTGATCGGTTAGATCCTTTGTGTCACTAGCACTATATTCTTGAGTTGCTTAAGTAGTATTAACTCTTATATAGCCTAGAGTTATGTGGTCACACTATGAAGCATCTCACTCAAAGCGACTCAACGAACAAGAAGTATCAAGACAAGAAGCAGTTTCTAAGGTAGCTTTGCTATGACAGAGTTGGTGTTGTCTTGATAGTGGCTAAGTGTTGATCGGTTAGATCCTTTGTGTCACTAGCACTATATTCTTGAGTTGCTTAAGTAGTATTAACTCTTATATAGCCTAGAGTTATGTCATATAACAGGCTGAGAGAGTGAGCTGTTAACAATCATGTACATTGATAATGATTATTCATAGTGGATGCAGCTGAGGGACACAGTTTCCCTCCTCTGAGATGTACCCAATTGGCGAACTCAGGGTGAACAAAAGCTTGTGTCTTTATGTTGTTTTGCTTAGTCGTTTGTTACTTTCATGAATCACAAGACTGGGGAATGAGTTTGCAGAAGTCATTAAAGTCCAAAGACTAAACATACACCTTCCTGATTAGCAACATGCTCTCTTTGTTGTGGAGGAAACAAATGTTTTCCATTTTGTTAACCAGAAAAATGCGGAGGAAAAGACACAAATTTGTATCGCTTGATAGAGAAATAAAGTCAAAGCGAAATCTTGGTATCTAAGTGTAGAAACATAATTTCAAAAAGGGAAGCATTGGGTTTTATCATGCTATATATAATCACGAGATTTAGCCAAAGCCCAAAAGTTGTTAGCCAAATACACAATTTACATTAGAGAATTATTGAGAAGGAAAATAATGGATTTAATCCCTCTGTTAGCGAGTAAGATTCTACAGAACCCAATGATACATAAGAATATGAGAACTGAAGAGAGGTATGTGACATTTAAAGTAAACATCGCTAGCTTTAGTCACAAAGGTCTTGCTCAAACAACCAAGAAATAGACATAAACACGCCAAATTTTTTGTTATGAAGGTCACTAGAATTGGAGTACTTGC